CGGCATATGATGTGATCCCATATGAAGTTGATGACTTTCTTTTCTCATATGTTTTTGGAAGGCCTGCGTTTCCACCCATTTTGAAAAGTAGTCAGTCATAAATAAAATGAATCTAGCTTTACTTGGCGCCATCAGCAAAGGACCGACGATGTCCATTCCCCATTTCATGAATGGCCATGGTAATAAAACGGAATGTAGTTGCTCGCTGGGCAAGTGAATCAGGGGAGCGATTCTCTGTAATTGTCGCACTTTTAGACGAATTCTTTGGTGTCGTTTTCCATGTTGTCCCAATAGTAGCCTACTCTGATCACCTTCCAGACTAAGGAGTCGATGTTGGAATGATTTCCACAAGTACCATCTTGAATTTCTTGGAGTACATAATCTGTGTCACCTGGACCTAGGAATACCGCCAGGTGACCATCGAAAGTTCTCCTGTACAAAGTCTCATTTTCGTCGAGCGAGAACCAGACTGCTTTGGTTCGCAGGGCCCTTGATTCTTTTGGATCTGCGAGCAACTTCCCATCTTTTAAATAATCAATATATTTATTCCTCCAATCCCATGTTAGGCTGGTGGAATTAATCTCTGCGTGACCTTCCTCGACCATTGATTTAAACAATTGGACAACATCCCCGGGGAGTAGGTCCTATTCTTCAACAGAAGATCCCAGATTCACGAGGGCATCGGCCTAGCTGTTTTGCTCTCGAGGTACATGGACTAAGGTCCATTCTTTGAAGCGACACAGTGCGACTTGGATTTTGTCCAAGTATCTCTGCATCCTGTCTTGTCGAGCTTCATAGCTCCCATTCACCTGGCTTACTACGAGGAGTGAATTGCATTTCACCTCAACGGTCTCGGCTCCCATGCTTTTACCCAGTTCTAAACCTGCAATCATAGCCTGGTACTTGGCTTCGTTGTTAGTCAATTTTGCGGTTTATATGGATTGTATAATTACGTGGCCATTGGGCGGCTTTAGGACCATACCGAACCCAGATCCTCTTATGTTTGTGGCGCCGTCTGTGAACAGGTTCCATACCCTGGAAGACATGCTTGATTTTAATAAAAGTTCCCTCTCTACCTTAGGTACTAGGGAGGGCAAAAAATCGGCGACGAAGTCTGCCATAATTTGGGACTTGATGGCCGTTTGAGGTTGATACTCGATATCATACCCTTTGAGTTTGATGGCCCATTTGGCCAACTGGCCTGATATCTTGGGTTTGTGCAGTATGCTCCAAAGGGGGTACGTCGATAGAATATAGATATGGTGACAATGAAAATAGGGCTTCAGCTTTCGCGAGGCGCTTATTAGCCCGAGAGACAATTTTTCTAGATGGGAATACTTGGTTTCGGCATCCCCCAAGGTCTGTCTTACATAATAAACGGGAAGGTGCGTACCTTTCTCCTCTCAAACTAGTACACCATTTACAGCTATTTCAGACACGGCCAGGTACAGATATAGTGTTTCATCCCCCTTTGGCGTATGCAGCAAAGATGGACTAGTCAGATATCGTTTTAGATTCTCTAAGGCGTGTTGGCTCTTGTCTGATGACCTTGATATGAATCTGCCCAGGGCCGTTATCCGCCCTGTTAGCCGTTGTACGGTCTTTACATTGTTCACCGCTGTGATTTCTACGATGGCCTTTATTTTGTTAGGATTAATCTCGATCCCCCTGTTTGATACCATGAAGCCTAGGAATTTGCCTGAAGGCGCACTTCTCGGGGTTGAGCTTCATGTTGTAACTTCTAAGGATGTCAAAAGTTTCCTACAAATGAGTCAAATGGTCCTCTGCACACAGGGACTTAACTAGCATATCATCAATATATACATCCATTGATTTGCCTACTTGATGCTCGAACATTTTATTAACAAGGCGTTGGTATGTTGCCCCTGCATTTGTTAGCCCGAAGGGCATTACGTTATAGCAGTTGGAATACTTTGTGATGAACGAGGTTTTTCCCCTGTCCTCGGGGTTCATCTGGATTTGATTATACCACAAGTAGGCATCAAAAAAGGTAAGGGTCTCGTGCCCGGCCGTAGCATTGATCAGACGATCGATGTTAGGCAATGTGAAGAAATCTTTAGGACACGTTTTATTCAAGTCTTTATAATCTACGAACATTCTTAGCTTGTTTCCCTTTTTAAGCACCACTACTACGTTGGCCAGCAATTTGGGGTAATTTACCTCTGTAATGAATCCTGTTTTAAGAAGTTTCATTACCTCTTCTTTGATGAAGCCATGTTTTACCTCGGACTGTGGTCTTCTCGTCTACTTTACCGGTTTAAACTTGGGATCGACACTCAGCATGTGGGAGGTTATTTCTTGTGGAATTCCTATCATATCTAAGTGTGACCAAGCGAAATAGTCAATATTGTTACTAAGAAATTGAATGAACCCTTTCCTATGTTCGGGGGTTAACCCCATTCCCACGTATACCTTACGATCCGGGAGGTGTTCAATTAAAATGGTCTGCTCCAGCTCTTCAACTATCGATTTAGTTTCATCCAATTCTTCGGGGGCGACGAAGGTCCGAGGAGTGATGAAATTTTATTCGACGTCGTCAGGGGTTTGTGTGTTCCTTACCTCGTCTGAGATCGGGTGCGTGGGGATCGACGCCTTATGATGAACTGCGAACATTTCTTTCATCGCCTGCTGTTCTCGATGTATGGTCGTTATGTCGTCCTTCGTGGGAAATTTTATCACGTAGTGTAAAGTTGATGGTACTGCCCTCATGCTATGTATCCAGGGCCTGCCAAGTAATACATTGTACCTCATGTTGCCATCGATGACTTGGAACTCAGTGTTCTGAATCACGCCGGACGTGGCTATCGGGAGGGTGATCTCTCATTTCGTTACTTCGCCGATCATGTTGAAGCCGTGGATTAAACGAGGGATAGGGGCGACTCGATCGAGCAACCCCAATTGTCCTACTACCTCTGATGTAACTATGTTGGCTGAGCTGCTTGGATCCACGAGCACATGTTTTATCCTGGTATTGTTTAAAAGAAACAAGATCACCAGTACATCATTGTGCAGTTCCATCATGGCCTCGAGATCGTCCTCGCTGAACGCTAGGGTGTCTTCAGGCACGCGGTTTCGGGTCGGTCCCTCTTCTATGGTGGACGTTCTTGTCCGTTTGAACATAGGTCCTTGGGGGACGTTGGTTCCTCCAATAATCATATGGACTTCCTGTTGGAGAGTCTCCCCTTCCGCCCGGGTTGAGTTTTGCGGTGGTGTACCGACATCTGGAGTAGTCATGTCCTTGTCTTTGTGGTTTTCGAGGTTGTTGTTATTAACTCTGTTCACTAAGCTAGACATTTTGTCCTGAAATCAAAGATCTTGGACAAGAAAAAGTGTGAAAGGCAACTTGCGTTGTGTAATGAAACCAGCAAGAAACCAATCACTATTATTTTTAGCCCCACGGTGGGCGCCAAACTGTTTACCGTAAAAATGGTAATAACAATTAAATTTGTTGATGGGACTCTAAAAATATGTGATCTATTTTTATGCTAGTTGTTAAGCAGTTGATGCTAGATATGTGAAGATAAAAGATGAAATGTGAGCTAAAATGGAATTATAATCGAACCCAAGGGTTTAGCTATTCGGGCCTCGAACTGATCAATGAGGGGCCTCGAGGTCGATGCCTGGGCTCAGGATCGAGCTATCGGGGATAATCAGGAAGGGATAACAGTTAGGATATGATTATGGGAGGCTATTTATGGCCAATGACAAGCAGTAAACAAAGAACAAGTATGAAGGCAATAAATATGAGCAATAGTGTCAGGAGAATATGTTAGAGAGAAAAGAGAGAGAGAGAGAGTTATTATTTATCTCGTATAGAATAGTTGGAGCAACAATAGGAGACCCTTGCAAAATGGCAAGGATCCCCTTTATATAGGAGGGGAATCCCTAAAAAGTACAAAATGCATTAATTGTAAAGGTATGGAGATGGGACGGCTAGACGTGACACCTTGATACAGGTTCCAGGCAGGCCGACTTTGTCAGACTTAGTCATGTGCCTTGGGAGTTCCCCATTTTTACTCTAGCCTCGAGCGATATTCCCTTTAGGTCAGGCCTCGACGGGCTTTGAGGGAGGGAACTCGGTCACAACTTCGCGTCCTCGAGGCCTCGAGGTGTTCTTCTAAAATGAATTAATAGCAAGAAATTAGACCCTCTGATTTTGCCGTGTACAATTTGGCAAGGAAATTTCTGGCTAGGTTCTTCCCTTCAGGAAAAACTGCAAAGATCAGAAGTGAGATAGTTGCCTTCAAACAGAAAACAGGAGTCTTTATACTCAGCTCGGGAGAGGTTCAAGGGGCTAATCAGAGACTGTCCTCATCACAATCAGACAAGAGAAGTATTGGCTCACACTTTCATAGAAAATCTACATCCTGAAACAAAGATTGTGGTAGATGTTGTAGCTAGAGGTCAAGTGTTGGAGAAAAGCTTTGACGAGATATATCATTATTGAACAAATTCTCCAAAAGCAATCCATATTGGCAAGGAGAGATGGGCAGACACATAGTCCAAAAGTCTGTAGGAGTTCTTGAGTTAGATGTCGTCTCAGCATTATCAGCACAGATTTCTACACTGACCAACCAAGTCAATCAGATGACCTTGATTATCAATAGGCAACAAGCACAACAGGTACAACAGGTTCAAGTGTTTTGTGAAATATGTGGAGAGGGTCACACGAGCGACATATACCCTGCTAATCCAGAGTCTATCTGCTTTGTGGGTAATTCAAATAGGGGCCAAACAAATGAATATGGAAACACATACAATCCTAAATAGAGGAACCGCCCAAACTTCTCTTAGGTGGAAACCAAGGTACTCAGAATCAATACAGGCCTCAAGCACCTCAACAACAATATAAACCACCTCAAGTTGAATAACAAGTGAGTCCAACAAGTCACTTTGAAGACATGTTAAAAAAAGTGATGGCTGAACAACAAGCCCTTGCTCAGAAATTTATGGCTGAGCAGTAAGCCCAAGCCGCAACAATGAGAAATTTGGAGCGCCAAATGGGACAGCTTGCCAGTGCTCAAATCACTAGACCAGCTGGAGCTCTTCCAAGTGACACTGAAGCTAATCCTAAGGCATCCCTTAATGCCGTGTCGTTGAGGAATGGGAGAGAATTAGAAGAAGTTCAGTCTAAAAAGAGGAAACAGGTGACTTTTAAGTAGAGGCCAACCACTATAGAATCAACATCAGAAAAATCTAAGGAGTTAGAGAAGCCAGCTGGAGAGGCAGTGGCTGAGTAACCTCCACCATTGGTTGCAAGGACACCACCTCCGTTCTCTCAAAGATTGTATAAAGTAAGGAATAACGCCACATATAAAAAGTTTCTTGATATTTTGAAGCAGGTGCAAATTAATATTCCATTGGTTTACTTCTTAAAATAACCACCCAAATATGCAAAGTACACCAAGGACATAACGGCAAATAAAAGGAGGCTAACCGAGTTCAAAACTGTGGCACTCACTGAGGAGTCCAGTTCAAGAATTCAGGGCAAGTTACCTCAGAAATTGAAGGATCCAGGTTGTTTCACGATCCAAATCTCAATTAGTAAACATGTTGTTGGGCGAGCTTTTTGTGATCTTGGAGAGAGCATCAATTTGATGCTGCTATCTATGTTCAGACAATTGGGGTTGGGAGATCCACGCCCAACAATAGTTATCTTAAAGTTGGTTGATTGCTCCCTTGCTCATCCTGAGGGAATGATTGAAGATGTGTTAGTTCAAGTGGGTTCTTTCATGTTCCAGGATGATTTCATTATCTTGGATCACGAGCCTGATCAGGAAGTCCCATTTATTTTAGGGCGTCCATTCTTAGCCACAGGCCGAGCTATTGTCGATGTCTGCAATGGAAGGATGACAATAAGAGTGAGTGATCAAGTGGAAGTAATTTTTTTTATAATGCACTCAAGTTACCAGCCTACTATGAAGAGCTATCCATGATACATGTGGTGGAAAGTGATTCTACATCATTAATGCCTTACACAAGCCTCGAAGATCCTCTTGAACGATATTTGATTGGGGATGAAGAAGATAGTAAAGATGTAATGAAGGGAGAAATTGAGCAGGTACTTGATATGTCCAATAATTATGTCCATGGGTTTGGAAAATTTGAGGAGTTGGACAGACCTATCACTCTGGTCCCTCCGAAGCCATCTATTGAAAAAGCCCCAAAGCTAGAACTTAAGCCTCTACCAGTGCACCTGCATTATGCTTATTTAGGGAACTCTGAGACATTGTCCGTGATTATATACTCTAGCTTGACTAACACTCAAGAAGAAAAATTGCCCAGTGTACTCCGAGAGCATAAAAAGGCTATTGGCTAGACTATAACTGACATCAAGGGAATTAGTCCATCGTTTTGCATGCATAAAATCTTTTTAGAGGATGGACACCACCCTAGCGTGGAGTAGAAGAGGAGGTTAAATCCCAATATGAAAGAGGTCGTGAAAAAGGAAGTAATCAAATTGCTCGATGCAAGTATCAGTTTTCCTATTTCTGACAGCAACTAGGTAAGCCCAATTCAATTTTTGCCAAAAAAGGGAGTTATGACTGATTGAGAATGAGAATAATGAGCTAATTCCTACTCGCACTGTGTCGGGGTGGAGAGTCTGCATTGATTATAGACGGCTCAACAAAGCAACCCGGAAGGACCATTTCCCACTTCCATTCATTGACAAAATGCTGGACAGATTAGCCGGGCATGAATATTATTGCTTCCTTGATGGTTATTCGGGATACAATCGGATTGTCATATGTCCAGAGGGTCAGGAGAAGACCACTTATAATTGTCCTTATGGTACTTTTGCCTTCAAGCAAATGTCGTTTGGTCTTTGTAATGCACCAACCACTTTCCAGAGGTGCATGATGGCTATTTTCACCGACATGGTGGAAAAATTCGTGGAAGTGTTGATGGATGATTTTTCAGTTTTTGGGTCTTCTTATGATGATTGCTTTAGGAATTTAAGCAAGGTGCAGGCCCATTGTGAAGAAACAAATCTGGTACTAAATTGCGAAAAGTGCTATTTTATGGTTGTATGTGGCGAAATTGGAGGGTCCAATTTCTTGCTGTTAACTCACTACAGAAGAACACCTCGAGGCCTCGAGGTTGCAAAGTTGTGACCGAGTTCCCTCCCTCGAAGCTCGTCGAGCTTTGACCCGAAGAGAATATTGATCGAGGCTAGAGTAAAACAGGGGATTCCCTAGGCACGCGGCTAAGTCTGACAAAACCGGTCTACCCGGAGCCTGTACCAAGGTGTTGCGTCTAGCCGTCCCATCTCCATACCTTTACAATTAATGAATTTTGTACTATGTTGGATTTCCCCTCCTATATAAAGGGGATCCTTATCACTTTGTAAGGGGCTACTGTTTCTCCAACTATTCTACATGAAATATAACAACTTTCTCTCTTTTCTCTCTAACATATTTTCACGGACGCTATTTCTTATTATTCTCATATTTGTTCTTCATTTATTGCTTGTTATTGGCCATATAGAGCCTCCCTTGATTATATCCTAACTGTTAGCCCTTCCCTAATTACCCCCGATAGCTCGAGCCTGAGCCCAGGCATCGACCTCGAGTCCCCTCATATGTCAGTCCGAGGCCCGAATAGCTAGCCCCTCGATTTGATTATTATTCTGCTTTAGTTCATATTTCGCCGTTAAGCTTCACGCATCTAGCATCAACTACTTTAACAACTAGCATAAAAATAGATCACGTTTTTTTTGAGTCCCATTAACAAAGTTAATTGTTATTACCGTTTTCATGGTAAACAGTTTGGCGCCTACCGTGGGGCTAAAAATAATAGTGATTGTATTCTTGCTAGTTTCGCTCCACAACGCAAGTTATCTTTCACACTTTTTCTTGTCCAAGATCTTCGATTTAAGGTCAAAATGTCTGGCTCAGTGAATAGAGTTGAGAACGACAACCTCAAAAACCATGGAGAAAATGGGGTGGTTGTTCTAGTTGTTGGCGTGCCACCACAGAACCCCGATAACATACCAAGACCGATTCCAGCGGACCCGGATTCACAGGACGTGCAGCAGGTCGATAAAACCTCACGCACCGACAGGAGTAAACAACATGGCGGCCAACAGGAATCCCAAAAAACCCTAGCCCGGGAAGAACGAGAAGTTAGTCTTCATGTTATTTTTGAAATGTTGCAGGCACAATAGTTGGCTATCGCTCAGCTGCAAAGCCACCCGAAGACTCCCAACATAGTAGCACCGGAAACTAATCCCCCGGCCGAACAGGTACCGGAGAGATCGAGCAACAGCGGATCAGTAACCGATCCTGCCATCGTAAAAATGTTGGAAGAGCTCACCAAAAGGATCGATTCGGGCGAGAAAATGATAGCAGCCAATGAAAAAAGGTCCAAACCTATCACTTCAGGGTCGACCAAATCCCAGGCGCACCCCCGGTCCTAAAGGGTGTAGATTCGAAGAAGTTCGTACAACGCCCGTTCCCAGAGGAAGCGGCTCTAAAGCCGATTTCAAAGAAGTTCAGAATGCCAGAACTCCTAAAATGCAACATGACCTCAGATCCCAACGAAGATGTCACTGCCTATACATGCGCAGTAAAGGGCAACGACATAAAAGACAACGAGATCAAGTCCGTCTTATTGAAGAAGTTCGGGGAAACGTTCTCGAAGGGGGCCATGATGTGGTATCACAACTTGGCTCCAAACTCCATAGATTCATTCATCGTGCTAGCAGACTCCTTTGTAAAGGAACATGCCGGTGCCATCAAAGTAGCAATGAGGTAGTCCGACGTATTCAAGATCAAGCAGAGGGAGAATCAAATGCTGCGAGAATTTGTATCTCGCTTCCAAACGGAATGGATGGAACTACACCCGGTCTCAAATGGCTGGGCGGTGCAGGCCTTCATTCAAGGCCTGGACGAGCGAAGCTCAGCGTCCTCAAGGTAGCTGAAAGAGAATCTTGTCGAGTATCCCGCCATAACCTGGTCGAACATCCACAACCGGTACTAGTAAAAGATCAGAGTCGAGGATGACACGCTGGGAGCCCCCTAGGGTTCACTATATCAGAGCAAACTCCTGGTGAAGGAGCCAAAACCGAACAAAGAGAGGTACCAATCATACCCCGCAGATAGAAGGAACGTCCCGAGACGTAATCCACCTCACAATGATCGATTGGTGTACCGAAGACAGAACCCTCGGGGATTCATCAGCCAAGGTGGATTCGACGAGGACACGAGGCCAATGATGGCACCTCACCTATCAACATACAACTCCAACGTCGATGAACCGGACATCATGCTCATCTTCAGCAAAACCAGGGACACCGAATGACCAAGGCCTATTTTGTCGGAACCTTCCAAGAGGAACCACGACTTAGTATGTGTACATCATTATACGCCTAGCCATAAGGCCAAAGATTGCCACCAGCTCCGAAAGTAAATAGCCAGGCTACTTGATAAAAGTCACCGCCTAGAATTTTTTAACAATTGGGCTAAAGTCCAGTTATGAGAAAGAGTGGTGGCCAAGAAGAACAAAGCAAATGAATCATGGCAAGTTATCCACATGATATTGGAGGGGCGTCAGTTCTCCCCAGGAACCCGTGACAAGGAGAACAAAAATATCCATCACCAGATAAAGACGAACCCGAGGATACGTACCCGAAGATGTCGTCGCATTCAAAGAGGAAGACTCTGAGACCTCGCCCCAACCTCATAACAACACATTGGTAACTTCTTTTTTCATTTATTCAATTCGAATAAAACATGTGCTCGTGAATCTAGGTAGCTCGACCAACATTAATAGGTGGAGAGATATAGAGCAGCCCAAACTACTAAACCAAATTGTTCCCGCCTCTTGAATCCTTAGCGGATTCAACAGGGCGATCGAAACAACAAAATGGGGAAACCACTCTCCCTGTCGGTGTGGTCGACACGGCCCAAAATGCCAAAATTCCATGTCATTGAAGGAGACATGAAATACTACGCCTTACCCAGACAACCAAAGATACACTGCACTAGAACGGCACCATCCACCCTCCACCAAATGATAAACTTTCCGACGAAGGATGGGATTAAACCCATTTACGGGGAACAACGCGCGGCAAGGGAAGCGTTCGCGTTACGTAATGTAGCGTCGGCACCAATATCTCCACTCTTGAAAGAGTCAAAGGATTACCAAATTACGTCTTCGGCTAAGCCCAATTAAACACAATGGAGGACCTTACCTAGTCCTCGCTCAAAACAATGGGGACACATCAGACCTCGGAACATCATCGGCGCATCCCACGATAAGGTAAGACCACCTCCCCCTTTCATTATTCTACACTAACCCATATGCAGGCGCCCGATCAGGGCGGTCGAAAGTGCTAACCCACCCCGACGATCTCAAGGCCTTAACGGCATCTGTTGCACTCTTTTCCTTTAGCCGAGCTTTTGTCTCGGAGAGGGTTTCATCGGTAAGGTTTTTTACGAGGCTACGCTCACACGCTACCTAAGGAGGATCCAACAAGTGTACAAGGCTTCTTTTGCAATCAACCCCGAACACTAGAGGGCACCCCTTGAGAGGTCATCCACTCAGAAGAACCGGGGAACGACAAACAAGGTTCCAATAGGAAATGATGTACCGGGCTGAACGGTCAAATGAACCGTGTCCGCATGAGCTGGGTTCACGGAAAGAAAACAACATGTACCTATACCAAACAATCAAAAGAATATATTTCTCCAAAAGCATCTCGTACTCCAAAGAAAATTCAGCATTTTAACAGCAAGGATCCCTCCATCGAGAATGCCCCGAATTACTTGGAGACTAGCGTTAATAACTCGGCACCCCGCATGGCCTCAGGGTCAGAAATCCATACTCGTAAGCCCTCAACGAAGCAGCACGGAAATCACGAGACATCTCCAAAAGGGAAAAATGTCCCGAACACTCAGAGACTGGCATCGCAAACTCAGAAAGCGCATGACCCTAGGGTCGAAATCTCCAAAGGTCATAAGCCCTCAATGAGGCCGTTCCGAGCTCACGAGTAATGGACCCTAAGCCGAAGCAAACTCGATGACTCGGAGACTGTCGCCAATCGCCATTCATTTAAAAAACCCGATGCCATAAGACCCCGAGCGGGTAGACTCGGTCTAGTAAGACCTATTTAAGCCAGCAACGGAAACTGTAAGACCTCAATCAAGGCATGAATCATACTTGTACCGAGTATCAACTAAATTGTAAGACCTCAAGCAAGGCATGAATCATACTTGTACCAAGTATCAACTAAACTGTAAGGCCTCAAGCAAGGCATGAATCATACTTGCACCAAGTATCAACAAAATAGTAAGACCTCAAAAGGCATGAAAATTT